CACATCCCCTCCAATATATATAAGAAAAGGATTGTAATTGCCAAACATAAATTTGAATATTGTAATGGAAAAATAAAAGCAAAGTTATTTCTAGACAAAGCGAATCATAGCTTATGAAAGACCTAAGAAATAAATATTTAAAAAAGGAAAGTCTTTTACAGATTTTATGAGCATTTAAAGAACAAACAAACCAATAGGACCTATAGGTAATTCGGAACTACTGAGAATCTCACAGAAGTAGCTACATAAAAGATTAATATGTAAAGCAGTTACATAGATAGATATTTGCAGCATGCATTTAAAAATGTAAATCAAGAGATCCAGCTTAACTCTTTGCCACTGATCCTCTCAGCCTTTCCTTCTAACCCATCTCCATTCCTTTGTGTCAGCTGCCAATCCCCAAACAAACTTTGTGTCAGGGACCCCAGGGGCCACACTAGGCTGTGAATCAGGTAGGAGTTTCTCATTATTTGTCCAGTCTTCCATTACCCTCTGTCAAGACTTAATTCTGAGTACTGTAGCAGTCTGCTTGCAGAAGCCCTGCCTACGACCCCAATTCCATTCATTGGGGACTCAGGGTCCCACTAACCCTTTTATCTCCGTCTCTCCAGACACCTTTATACTCTCTACCAGAGACACCAGAGCTACCACACTTGCCTAGGATCCAAGGATGGTAACAGCAACCAAAGAATGGAACACCCACCCAACAAAGATAAGACCAGATATCAACACCAAGAAATATCTCAAACATCACTTGAATGAAATGATAAAAACAGTTCAAGACATGAAAGTAGAAATAGAATCACTAGAAATCCCAAACTAAAATAAAACTGGAAATAAAAATTTTAAGATGTCAAGCAAACCCCTCAGAGTTAAGCCTTACTGGCATACAAAAGGAGCTGTTGATCTAGTAAGGAAGTTTGACTAAGCAACCTAGCAAACAGGTGTGTAGCATAAGGAAGCAGTGCCGGCTTTTACAGGATCACTGTCAAGGTCCGGTTTCAGAACTGCAACAGACCGAAAAGACAGCCACAGCAATTCCTTGCGGGAGACAGAAGGCTTCAGGAGGCAGGCGTGCCATGCGAATGTAAAGGGAAAACACTGAAGCTATATCCTGGAGCAGTGACAGGTCTGTGGTGACTGTTACAGGGGGAGGAGAAAGGAAACAGGAAACAACTCTAAAGCTAAATGGTGCCAAATCTGGTGATGACATTGACCCACCAAGAAATAGGGATCTGGCAAGTTGAGATTACAAGTGAAATGTTTCAAGATTTCTTCCCACCCTTACACACACACACACACACACACACACACACAAACACACACACACACTGTAGGCATCTGGAAGGGCAGCTATTAAATCTGGGTCAGTAGTCATTACTCAGTGGAATGGATCTATTTGCACATCATTGAATTGCTACACGTGGCCAAGTTTCCTGAGGAGGTCAGAGCAGGAAGTAATAAGCATAAGGAAGGAGGGCTATTGACTTTTTGACTGAAAGGAGTGACAGCCCTCTCTACCCCTCTCCTTCACCGTGAGTTAAAGAACTAAAAAGCTAAACCAAAGTCAACAAGGAAGTGAATGAACAAAAAGGAAGTTGTTTCTAGCAGGCAGACAATCCTCAAGGAGTCTTCCCCTCCCTGCCCCTCTTGTGTTTTTTGTTTGTTTTGTTTCTTGCTACAGGGTTTCTCTATGGCTTTGGGGCCCATCCTGGAACCTCTGTAGACCAGGCTGGCCTTGAACTCACAGAGATCCACCTGCCTCTGCCTCCCAAGTGCTGGGATTAAAGGCGTCCTCAAGGAACTTTCTATCTTTTACTAGACATTTTCTATAAGCAATCAAAAACTGTTTTATTACCTTAATAATATCATCAGTTCCTCCATCAACAGGTTTTGATTTGAGTTCTTCAATTTCTTTGTCTAATTCTAAATAAAAAAAGATTCAAAAATTAACAAAATAATTACTACTAACCTGATAATGACATTCTATGAAGAATCCCAAGCCTGTAATTAGAATATATTTAAGAAGTCAATACTTGGGAGGATTATTAACTCTATCCAAATGATAGTATTGCTTTCTCCTTTTTCTCCATTAATACAAAAATATTCATTTGGAAGAGTATGGTCTAAGTATCCACCACGCTTCTATAGTGCACACGAACCATTTTGTTTCCTCTGAAACTATATTCACTTCTTCCCTTCCTGTCTTTTCCTATTCATCCACATGTATGTGGGGGATCTTGCTATGTTGTTAAGGCAGGCCTTGAAATCCTGGGCTCAACTGATGTTTCTGCCTTAGCCTCTGGAGGCAGGGACCAGGTATGTATACCACTTTGGTTAACTACCCTGATAACTTTCCAGCATGTCTAGACATTCTATTATGTTTGCTATTAATATTTTTTGTATAATCTTAAGGCAAGAATTAAATATATCAAACACATATATTGATCTGAATATTTCATCAATACACCTCTAGTTCTGTAGCTTAGTTCATCTTCTCAAATAGTTTACTTTCTTGATTACAAACTGGTCCAATTCTAAACATAAATTTGATCTGTTCTGGTTAGAAAATAAACCTTGGCAGTTAAAAATTTTAAGTTAACGGGAATTCAAGTTACTAACTTGAATTCATACTAACAAATTCATCAGTCATACTAAAAAAAAGACACTAATATCATTTTGCTTTCGGAATTAAAAAATAAAAGGCATCAAATAGGAAGTCAAGCAACTTCAGCAGATGCACACACTTCAAATTTCCGCGAAAGTCTTGGGGGTTACACTTCAACATTTCAACTGGAAAACATAGAATTTATAATTAATGTGAAGTAAATAGGGTTTCATTTTACGATTAAAAATAGTCCTCTCGGGCTGGAGAGATGGCTCAATGGTTAAGAGCACCGGTTCCCTTCCAGAGGTCCTGAGTTCAATTCCTGGCAGCCACATGTTGGCTCCCAGTCATCTATAGTTAGAGCTAATGCCCTCTTCTGGCATGGAGGCATAAATGCAGATGGAGCACTCACACATAAAATAAATTAAAAAAATTATAACTCTCTCTCCCCTTATTTATTCAAAGGTAACTGTAAGGCAGGGCATATTGGTGTAATGAAAAAACCCTGTAATTTCAAACTCATTACCTGTACACCTTGCTTTGGCTTTCTGCAGTAGCATCATTTGCTTCTTGGCAAACTTGATGAGATCTTCTCTTGCCAATGTTTCCAGCTGAAAGATATTGCTATATTATCGACTTTTATAACCCAAGCTCCCAGTGTGTCCCCCCAAAGAAATTCACTGTCTGCCTAAAAACAAAACCACTCTCAACATTTAAACCAATCATAATTTTAAAATTAACAAATATAACTTCAACAACTTTAAACGATCAGATGAATTAAAAAGCAAACAAAACCCCAGCATAAAACTAACTCTCTCTCTCTCTCTCTCTCTCTCTCTTTCTGTTGTTTTTTGAGACAGGGTTTCTCTGTAGCTTTAGAGCTGAGCCTGTCCTGGAACTAACTCTTGTAGACCAGGCTGGCTTTGAAATCACAGAGATCCACCTGCTTCTGCCTTCTTGAGTGCCGGGATTAAAGGCATGCGCCACTACTGCCAGGCTAAAGTAATTTGTTGTTGTTCTTTTTGGTTTTTTGAGGCAGGGTTTCCCTGTGTTGCTTTGGAACCTGTCCTGGAACTAGTTCTTGTAGACCAGGCTGGCCTCAAACTCACAGAGATCCACCTGCCTCTACCTCCCGAGTGCTGGGATTAAAGGGCATGCGCCACTGCCAGGATACCATTAAGTTCTCCAAGTGTCCAAGTGGGGGGTTGAACCTAAAAGGTTTTAGAGCTGTAAAATTCATTCTGTTGCAAGCTGAAAAGCCATCCATGTACACATGAAAACAAACCTAATTATAGTCACACGTGGACTGGGTAACATTTAGGGTTTAACTGAAATATCAGGCTTTACTAATTCTGAAAATTACTTAATCCTTGTGCACTTAGTTTTCCTCATCTGCAGAATGACAATAACGAGGTAATTGTTTCAGGAAGCTTAAATGAAAAAATTGAAAGCTTAGGCAAATGCCTGGAACTCACTAAGCAAACGATACATTTTGGTCAAGAAAACCACTGTCTTTCAGAATCATTGAACATTAAACATTGCACAGGGCTCTAAGAAGGACCTTATTCAATCATCGTTTGACTATGGAGCTGGAGCCAAGAGGATATAGCTTTTTGATTCTTCCCCTTATCTAATCCCCTCTTCATTGCGTCACTGTGTAAACTTTCATAAAACTGTCAATAACTAGTCAAATGTCTGAAATATAGCAGGATCTCTCAGCATAGCGCTAACAAAGAGCAGGAAGTAAACAAACTGCTTGCCCATCAGGAAATTAAAAAAATAAACAGGAAATCAATGGGTGATTATAAATTAAAATGGAAATCTCTGAAGAAAGGTGACTTCTTTTAAAGAAGAAATCCTTTTTCCCATGCCCAAGTTTTCCAATTCATTACCCTTCCGCGCTCCAGGGAACCTGGCAGTACAGGGCTCTCCTTACCTTGGATTTCCCGGTCCCGGAGGGTGCCGCAGCCACCCCATCTTGAACAGGATCCTGCAAAACAAAATCGTCACAAGAGTTCATCCCAATTCCGGGAGCAACGCACGGCCAAAAGATCTTGGGGTGAGGAAGAGCCTCCTCGGGAGCAAGAACCAGGGGCCATCGCCATGGCAAGCGCCAGACCGGGTTCTACGCCGAGCGCAGCGGCGGGGGCCGAGCCGCCGAGCGGGGACAGATGCTGGCCGTGCCCTCCCACTAACTCGAGTGGCGCAGAAGACCAGCAGGGCGGCGCGACCCCACCATTACCTCCATCGCAGCCACAGCGACCCACGGCCACCGCCACCTCCTCAGGAATCCTGGCTGCTGCGGTCTCCGACGCCGCCGACTGAGGGGTCAAAGGTCGTGCTTCGGGCTACGCCTCCCCCCCGCGTCTCCAAGGCTACGTGGAGCGGTACTTCCGTTTCCTCCTTGGCATCCGAGAGGAAGTTCTCTGTGCGCAGGTACACTGGACGGAGCGCAGCTCGAAGAGCCTCAGAGAACCGCTCTGGGCAGAGTGATGGGTTTGAGCACACGTGTTCGTTTATCAGTTTCCTATTTTTGTTGTTGTTGTTGCTTTTTGAGACGGGGTTTCTCTCTGTAGCTCTGGAGCCTGTCCTGGAACTCACTCTGTAGACCAGGCTAGACTCGAACTCACAGAGATTCGCCTGCTTCTGCTTCCCGAGTGTTGGGATTAACCGGCGGGGTGTTTCCTAAATTTTTAAGATGTGGTTTATAAGTTTAAGTATCCCAATTAGCAGGCATATGTGGAACAAATAGTTTATAGGGATGTAATTCTGTCAGATGTTCAAAATTTGTTGGGCTGTAAATAATAATTGGTAATAAATATCTGGATCCATTAATTTATCACAACTGAAAAATGTTGGCATGCTGACTCTGTTCTTTTAAAAATTAATTTATTGGCTGAAATCATTCTTGTGCTTGTTAATATTGTCAATTTGAAAGGATCTAGAGTCATCTAGGAGATCCACCTCTAGGCGTGCTTTTGAGTGATTTATTTAAATTAGATTCATTGAGAGAGGGAGACCCACAGAAAATGTCTATTAGCTGGAGTCCAAGGCTGCATAAAATGGCGGAAGCAAATGGAGAAACAGCATTCATCTGAAAGAATTCATCAGGACCATAGTGTGGAAGTTAAGAGTGACCAGTGGCGACAGGCGCCTTCCCTTGTGATCCCTAATGAGAGCCGGCAGGGTACAGGGATCTATGGGTTCCACAGAGAGACCCACAGGCCTTCCCTTTCCTCGTGGTTGCTCACAAGGGGATGAAAGACAGGATACGGAAGAAATCGCAGAGGTCTCTCTAGAGGAAGACAAAGAAGAGGTGGAAGATATTCCAATATAGATTTTTGTTGTTATACTAGAGAGTGGTCACAGGGTACTGCTAGGCTGATGTTGGCCTTAAAGAGAAAGTGCCTGATAGTTTTCTATAGTTAAGCCCGGCCGAAACATAAAGGAGTATGGGACACGTGTCTCTAGTGGGGAGTATCAGTCACAGTGTTGTATTATTGTAGGTAAGAAGGGCGTTCATCCATCAGGTTTTTCAGGATGTCTACTTGCAGGTGTACACATAACTAATTACAAGTACAGGCCTTCAAGCAGTCTGGCCCTCATCTCGAGTCTAGCCAGGGAGAATCTCAACCTACACATGGGTGAAGGGAGATGTTTTTCTTGGCTTGAACCTCTTCGATCATGGGTTCTGGAAGCCATATGGCATGATGTTACAAAATGTAAGGATGTCAGAGGTTTACCGTTTCCAAATCAAGTTTCCTCCCTGAGGAATCACATAATGTACTGTCCACTGCAGGAAGATGTAAAGGATTTGCATGTTGAGCATGGCTCTCTTCAGGCCAGAAGAGGAGAAACAGTGTCCTGTGTGTACTGCAGGGGGAAACAGATTAGGCAATAGATAGATAGCTCACAGACTAAAGTTTAAGGCAGCGAGCTGCACAGCGAGCTCTCCATCAAAAAAAAGGACCTGATGGAGCACATTGAGTGACTGTGTGATTTCCCAATATGTATTAATTGCTTTCATGTGAAAAAAGTTAGACACAATTGCTGGGTTTAGAATTTTGGGAGAACTTTAACCACTGAGTATACATGTTCCCTTGCAGATATGTGTAATCCTGGATGACACAGTAAAGTCAGCTAAGAGGTTTTAGACATAGATCATGGTCTGTCACTCTTTGTCAACTTGCAGCACTCAGCAGCTAACATTTTACATGGGACAAAGTCATACAGTATCTTACAAATGACATTCTGTTTACATGGGAAATGCCCACTCCTTTCAAAGTCACTTTACCTAAGTGTTTTTCCAATTATTTTTATCTCTTTAACAAGTCAGTTATTGATACCATTTTCTAAATTTCATATTAAATGCTTTATTGCTCAAATCTCTATGGTTTCTATTTTCCAAACATTTCATAGTCATTAAGAATTTCATTCCATTTTTTTCTTAAGTGCCATTTATCTATGTATTTATATATTTATATTATTTTAGAGCAGTGATTTCACACTATTGTTGATGATCCTTGAGGGTCAAAGAACCTTTGTCAGGGGTCACCTACATCCATCAGAAAACACAGATGTTTACTATACAATTCATAACAGTAACAAAATTAACAAGTAGCAATGGAGGTAATCTTTTTTTGTCATAATAAAGTTTATATGAAAACAGGCAGTTGTGGGGACAAATACATCTGGGTTAGGTGGTTCAGGTGAAGTTGGAGGCTTCTTCACACTGATGCCCTATCCACTGGGGGCGGGGGACAAGTCCCTGTAGTTAGGGCGTTCTTGCCTTCCTTGCTCTTGCTTTGGGAGCTGCCAGAGGCGGTGCCCTTCATTTTTGCAGTACCGTAGGGCATCAGTAGCAATATTTAGATGAATGTCTGGGCAGCTGGTGAGATGAGCCGGATTATGCCTGGGTCTGAAGCTTCAAAGCCAGCATGGTTCAGGTAATAACCAGCCACTGCATCTGGGATCGTAGGGGTGTAATCCTTCAGCTGCATCAAGAAGTCCACCAGAGGCCTGCTGGCCTATGGCTTCACTTCTCCTTTGGCTGCAGTCGGCAGGGCGTAAACCCCTTTGGACATTGCCCCTTCAGGAGGAGCCACGCTGCCCTGAAAAAAGTCAATCTAACAAATAAAGTAGATAATATGCCTCTGCTTTCTAAGTGCTGAAATTAAAGGCATGAGTTAGTACACCCAGCATGCCTGTTATTGTTTGGTATTAATAATAGCTCACACAATTTCTCTGAGATTTACTGAGGTTTACTGCATTTCTCTTACAAGGCATAGCCCATTCAAAGGCAGCAATGACAGAGATGAACCTCCTATTGAGTTTCATTCTGTAGTGATGTGGTAATGGCATTATGATGTCCCTATCGTGAAATGAGTTCAAGAAGCACCAGAATTAGATGACTATACTGTCAAAGAAATATACATTTACAATGTTGTCAGTATCACACCTTTTGTTTTCCACATGTATGGATATTTTAGAATGCAGTGACCTATGATGATGTGCATGTGAACTTCACTCAGGAAGAGTGGGCTTTGCTGGACCCTTCCCAGAAGAATCTCTACAAGGATGTGATGCTGGAGACCTTCAAGAATCTCACTGATATTGGTAAGATGGTGAAATTTACATCACGTTTTAAAACAAGGGGACAAGTGTTTCCTGATGATTCTGGACGATTGAGGGTCTTCTGCAATTTTGATTGAGAAAGAGGAAGGGTGTGGTGAATAAATTATGCATGGTGCTAAGGGCCATTGAATATATTAACTTATATTTTTCTGTTTCCAATAATATGTCATATATTTTATGGTCTTATATTTTAGACTACAATTGGGAAGTTCATGATATTGAAGAGCATTCTCAAAGTTCTAGAAGACGTGGAAGGTAATTTACATGTATGCATGCTGATATAAATGTGCCTCTGAGGAAAGTTTAATGTCTCCTGGATTTTTGAAAGAAAAACAGCAATGTAAATAAACACAGCTTAAAATGATTTGATGATTATTAAATTCTCAATAAGTGATACACCTCAATGCCAGGTAGGAAAGCTGTGATTGCAAGGCATTAAGAGAGAAGACAAGGAAACAAAGGCTCAACAGATATTATCATCTGAATCACAGCTGAAGGAGAGCTGTGCTGAAGAACTGCCAATCTGTTTAGTTTCATAGCTCTTATATCACAATAGGCATACACATTGAATAGGTGATAAGTATATGTCCAAAACCTTCTACTAAGCAAATAATACATAGTAAAGCTAGTGTGACTTATATCCTTGTGATGATTCTGTTAAGTTTATTGAGAAGGGCAGATAGACTCAAGGGAGAGATTTTGTGGAGAAACTTTAATCACTATACCACATGTCTCTGAGGAACAGAGAGTCAAACTGTAAATGCAATGTGGAAACCTTTCATTTGTTATTCTTACTTTAATAGGTACATCATATGTCCCTCTGAATAGAAACCAAATGAGCATAGAGATATGGAAAGAAGTTATAATATCTCTCTCAGAACAATTAGAAGATACATAGTAATCTCTGACTAGACTTGTTGATTGTGATTCAAGTTTATAAGTAATTGATTTTCCAGCTTCGTTGAGAATACATCAATAAACTAACACTGCAGAAAAGCCTCATGAGTATTAAGGATTTGTAAACACTTCTGTTTGTCATGATTCATTTTGCAATGTAGTATGACTCACATTCTTGGAATATTTATGAATATAATAGTCTTAATGTTCTTAGTTTTTTCACTTCTCTTCAAATATGTGAAAAATCTCTTAAAGGAAGAAGCCGCTCAAATTATGAACCATGAAATAAAAGCTCTTACTATCTAAAGCATTATCAAAGATACAAAGCAGCCTTTAATAGAAGGGAAAAATATGTTTAAATGATTTGATAACATCTTAAGGCCTGATTCCTCTTTAAAATTAGACCAAGTCTCAGAGGTTAAGAGCACTGACTGTTCTTCCTGAGGTCCCGAGTTCAATTCCCAGCCACCACCTGGTGGCTCAGAACCATCCCTAAGGAAAGCTTGTGCTCTTCTCTGGCGTGAAGGTGTCCAAGCAGGACGAACATTATATACACAATCAAATTAGACCAAATTGTAAAATTAATTTATACAGATATAAAGATTTACCAGTGTAAGGAATGTGATAAAGCTTTGACATGTGCCCCTGAACCTTCTGCATATAGTTAATGTGTTAATCCCTTTACTTATTACAGTAACTTGGAAAGGCATGAGAGAATTCATATGGAAGAGAAGCCCTGTGAAGATATTCAACATGATGAAGCCATTGCATGTCACAGTCAACTGCAAATAGATAAAAGAACACATACTAGAGAGAAACCTTACAAATGTAATCAGTGTGGTATAGCTTTTACATGTAATAATAGTCTTAGAACACATAAAAGAACACATACTGGAGAGAAACCCTATGATGTAATCAGTGTGGTAAAGCTTTTACATGTAATAGTCTTCTTCAGATGCATAACAGAACACATACAGAAGAGAAACCTTACAAATGTAATCAGTGTGGTAAAGCTTATACATGTAATAATGGTCTTAAAGTGCATAAAAGAACACATACTGGAGAGAAACCCTATGAATGTAATCAGTGTGGTCAAGCTTTTACATATAATAATAGTCTTCAAGTGCATAAAAGAACACATACAGGAGAAAAACCCTATGCATGTAATCAGTGTAGTAAAGCCTTTGCACAAAGCAGTTCTTTTATGCCTTTCTTCAAAGGCATAAAAGAACACACAATGGAAAGAATTCTTAGGAGTGAATGAAGTGTGTTAAAGCCTTTGCACATCACAGTAATCATTAGCCGCATATAAGAGAACAACTGGAGAGAAACAATATGAGTATGATCAGTGTTGTAATGCCTGTGCAAATCACAGTAATCTTCAAAAGCATAAAAACAAATACTGAAGAGAAACCCTCTGAATGTAATCACTGGTAAAACATTTGCATGTATCAGACATCTTCAAATTCATGAGACAATGCACATATCAGTGTGGTAACTTTTATTTCAGAGTTTTTCTACAAGAATTGGCTTTTAGTGCACAATCAGTTTGTTAAAGCCTTTCCATATTATGGTACTCTTTGATGTTATGGAAAACCAATACCGAAGGGAATCTCTAAAGGATTTGGCAACATCTTCAGCCAACACACATTATTAAGTTACACAGGAGTGTTAATTCTGGAGAAGACATTCTGACAGTATCAGCAATCTGTCCAAGCACTATAGCGTGCTTTATTTTGTTTGTACCTGCAAACTCATATAAAGGAAATTCCTACAAATTTAAATAATAATGGAACCCTTTTTGATTTCACACTGCTCTTCAATTGCATTAAATGTCTAATCCAGCTGTAAACATTTATAGATGTGTATTCATACCTTTTCTGTTTTAGTTTGTTTTAATGATATTAATGTTAATACCTAATGTGCTTATTCAAAGCAGGGTTTTCTTTTATCAGATTGATATGCAATAAAGTAGGATAATCAGCAATCAACTTTATATCTCTTAACATAGCGTAATGTGCTTTAGATACGTGTATCTTATTTAGCATTCTATTTTCTTCTTCCTATTCCCATTACTTTTCCATTTGGTACTGCATCTTGAATTACTGCCTTCTAACCAGATTGTCCATAGATGCCTGGTGATGTAACAGCAAAGAAATTTATTTGAAAACAATTCTGTTGTATGTGTCTGTAACATGATTCTGGGCTTGTAGGCCATGGCAGATATGTGGAGACTAGAGGACAGCTTTGTGGGATCTTTTGACCATCTTCACATGAGGTCGTGGTCTGGTTCCAGTGCGCACACCGCAGACATTTCACAGGGAGCCAGCTCACTGATGCTCAAACAAGATGAGTTGAGCATTACATCACTAAATATTTTCTTCTTTTCAAATTGTGAATGTACTGTTTTTAAGATGGAGGAAATGGGCACATTTGAGTAATAAATCCTGCTATGATTATGCTGCCTTCCCTGTCCCTCTAAGAGACAAGCTCTGCCCACTCAGTCTCTCTCTGCCCACTGAGGCAAGTCCTCCTTGGTTGCTTTTCTCTCTGCCTGGCTTTCTTCTCAAGAGGCAGCTCTTGTCTTCTCTCCCTTCTCTCTTTCCTGTTTTCTCTGTCTGTCTGTCTGTTTGTCTGTCTATCTCTATTTTTCTCTCTTCCTCCCTCCTAGCCTCCCAATTTCCTCTTCCTAAATAAAATTTCACACCACCCAAACTCTCTCTGCATGCTATTATTCTGTTTTTCTCTGGTGGTCCCCCCACCACCACTGCAGTGGGACCTGCCAAGCTCCCTCAGGCCATACATAAATCTTTAAATTCTATTTGCAAATGAAAATGATATACTACTATCTTTTGTATTTTGATTGTGTTAATTTATTCTAAGAACTGAATGCTTGTTCATGACACTTTCTCAAATAACAAGTGAACACCAGACAATTGTCTCAGTAGGTAAAATTAGTTTCTGGTAAGCTATAAATCCTGAGTTCTGTCTTTGGGAGACCCATATTTCTCTTGCAAATTTTTCTCTTATTTCTGCACTTGGTCTATGGCGTATGCACAATCACACATCAGAACATACATAAATTATCTTGAAACCCAAAGACGCACCAATAAGGTCTTTTGTAGCAAAACAACTCCCTTGGTTTTATCTCTAGAACTCACATGTAGGAAGTAGACAGTGAAAACCTCTGCTATCCTCTCCCTGCCACAGACTCGCAATGACACATCAAACATAGTTCAAACAATATAAATGGATCCAAATTTAAATACAAAGCAAGTAGCACAGTTGATGAAACCACATGAAATGATTTGCAAATTCAAATTATAGAATATCAAAAATTATTACCATTAATCAAAACAGTGATTGTTACCTTTTACATCTTATTTTGCTCCATATTCTCTGACTTATACATACCTCAGTAAAAAAGTCTTGTGCATACCTGTAATCACAGGACTTGGTAGACGGGGAGGATGAGCTCTGAATTTGAGACCGACTTGATCCACATAGTGAAGTCCAGATTATCCGTGGCTAAGTAGTGATGTCCTGTCTCAAAAAACTTCTGAAAAGAAAAGGCACTTCTCAAGTTATGGAACATTCTCTGATATAAACTTATTGGACTCTGTCTGATTTCAACAAAAACTTTTGTATCTTTACTCACATTGAGAGAGAACTATGTTAACAATGACAACAAGAAGCCATGAGCAGAGTCCATTCACAGAGGGAGAATAAGGCCTTGAATCCTTCCACAACCATCTTTTGTGTGGTTCATCACCTTCAAGTGATGGAAGACAGAAATAATTCACATTTTTATCTTCTGCATTATGAGGACATATTTGGGGACTCAGTAGTACCACTCCTCTTAGGTACCCAAATTTGCTTCCTAGCATCCCAATCAGAAGGCTCAGAACTTCCTATATTTCTGGGTCCTGCAGATCTAATGCGTTCTTCTAGCCTTGTTGGGCACCATATATGCAAATAGTGAAAATACTGATTTGTATCTGATTCCATGTTGTAAAAAGGGTTTTCTTTATGTATGTGTTACTTTAAAGAAGAATTAAAGTTAATTTACATATATAAGTTTTGCCAGTTTATACACCATGTACATTCCAGGTTCCAGTGGAGGCCACAAGACAGTGTCTGATCCCCTGTGACTGGAGTTATAGACAGTTAGGAGCTGTCTTGTGGTTTTTGGTGGATGAGCTTCAAGTGTTTTTAGCTGCTGTGCCACCGATTCAGCCCCATGAATGTGTCATTTATAAGATAATGTTTATGGAGTTAATAAAAATTGATTATTAATTACATCTAATTAACAAACAGTAATGTGTTATGACTAAATTCATCTTCATCTCTGCCCTGATGACC